ATAGGTAAATAAATGTTGAATTTGTTTATTTAAATTGGTAATTTAAAGTATATAAATTGAAAATAATATATGAGAGATTGATTATAATTGTCACTAAAATAAATGTTTGCAATTTTGTAATAACTCTAGTCTAAATACTTAGTTTTAAAATGATAGTCTAAATAAATACTATTTTTAGTTTAAATTTCTCTAATTCTTCATAATTCTCTTTTGGGTAGCATTGTCATTGTTTTCATCTTCAGTGGGCGAGGCTGGCTGCCTACGAGCCCTCGAGGAACTTCCAAGAACGCTAAGTCAACCCAAACAAGTTAATGTGGAAATATGATTGTTGTGCTCTTCCCCTGATCATCCCCTTGCTATGTGTTAATGTGTATCGGTTGTTGTTGATATTGAGTGGTGGCCACTACTGTTGTTGTGCACGTTGTTGATTGGTGATTGTTGATGATCATTGATTGATTATGATTGATTGTCCATGATGAGAAAAGATGAGATGTAATTAGTGGAAAAGAAAATGTTGGTGGTTGGCACAACGAGTGTCCGGTCATTGTACTGAAGGTACAGGCCTCGCGGTTACTATGCTATAGGCACAAACCCACCTTAGACTATCTTGCTAAAGGCATGGGTCAGGTTATAAGTGTTGCGATGCCATGTCAGGGCTATATGCACTGAACATGTTCTTTCTTTTTTATTTTTTTTGTTGGTAGTGTGTCATGTGCCATTAGGTTACAGGTGGCAGCATAGAGGGATTCATCATGCAATGAGATTATGGTGTAGGAAGCTTTAGATTTGCATTGTTGCGTATATGACTGAGATTTTAGTTGTAATATGGACAATGATGTAAGAATAATTTTATCTGATAAAAAAATAATAGTATAATATTTGTAAATTAATGTACAATTGTACCATTATAAAAAAAATACAAAAAATATTAATACCATAATGACCTAAATCATTCTAATAATGCAAAAGCATAATTGAAATATTAAGTTTGTTCTAAATAATCAAAAGAAGATTAATTAAACGTTTTTTTTAATAAAAAAAAAAAACTTAACCAAAATTTATTATTATTTTTTAAATCAAGAAAATCAAATGATTTTTAAAGTTCCCGATTTATAATCTTTGATGCTCAACTTTGAATGCTATGTATTTAGTCGGGCTAATTACTTGATCAAAGTTTATGTTTAATTTTATATTATATATATTTTTAATACATTTTAACATATTCATAATATATGTTTAAAAATTATGCCAACTCTAATTGGGATGAGGTTCGAACCTAAGACCTTACTTATATAAATTAATGAGTATGTTAAGAATAATAAATAGTTAACGGAATATTCCGTTAATAAAGTTTATACTAACGGAATTTAGGGTTATTTTAGGGAAGGAAATAATATAATAGAGGGTAAATAAGGAAAATCATTAAAAATTACTAAAATCAAAATAATATTAATCATTCATTTTAAGAAACAATAGGACCGACATTTTTTTGTTCCAATTAAGGGCCTAACATTATTCGCTCTTATTAAAAGTGTAGATAGATAGATATATATATATATATATAGATTGTTCTTTTGTGTGAGCGTGTGCATATGAATGCAGAACCATGTGCATATTAGTGCTAGACTATGCGTGCATTTGTAATAACTTAAACCATACACAACCTCAAACGCTCACACGCACAATATAAATAGTAGATTATAACAACACAAGATAAATACTTCGTGATAAAAACATCAACATTGTACATCCAATAAAACAAATAAACACTATAAAATCCAAAAAATATATAAATAATGAATTTAAATGTGTCCGAATGACGAGGTGGTAATCAAATATTATTCGCAAAAACAGCAGCACACTTGATGTTCCTACCCCGATGAGCCTTGAAATTATAGAGATTACAATCTCCCCCATGTACACAAATCCACAACAATTGTAAGCACTCTGCATCATCTTTACGTACCAATACTATGTGCGCATAAACCACACGATGATGTGCGCGCACCTTAATACGTTATGACAATATAATAATAAGTGCAACAACTTAATATGCACATACTCCATTACACTAACACGCATACACCGTAATAAAAGAATATCAAATAATACCTAGCTACGCACACCCAAAAAAAAAAAAAAAAAAAACACTATTTACACACACACAAAATATAAAGACGAGTATAATAGTGTTGCTCCAGAAGTGCCTCTTTCAAACACAAACAAATCTATAACAGCAAATAACCTGCAAAGTATAGTTTAGGAAGATAAATCACTATTATCATAACAATATTAAATGAGTACTTAGAGAGTAGTTTCATAGGATTTAACTAATTCCTTAACTAAATTTTTTCTTTAATTTATTATGGCTTCTGATTCTTTTCATATTATATCATTAATAGTATTTACCTGTGCATTGCACAGTCATTGAAATTAGCAACATAATATTTTAAAAATGCATTATAATATTATCCTCTCCTCTACTATAATAAAGCATAATCTTTTTGGTAAATAAAAATAGAAATATGTTTTCGCCCAAACAATACTATTATCAATAGTATTTACCCGTGCGATGCACGGTCATTAAATTTAGCAACGTAATATTTCAACGTAATATAACTAGTGATAATAGTAATTTTTGACATAGTATCATTTGAGTGGGAAGTTTTTCCTATTGTTTTTAAAGATTTTTGATATAGTATTGTTTGGGTGGAAACTTTTTCCTATTTTTATTTACTAAATAGGTTATTATAGTAGAGGAAGAGGATAGTAATATCAACTATAATAATGAGTTCAAGTAGGTGACTTTAACTCTCTAAATAATAAATCAAACAATGAAATTCAGTCTTTTTTTTTTAATGCTATTTACGCAATTATAATGTAGTAGAGGAAGTCTATATATACAAGTATAAATAAGAGTGTGTTTGATTCGCACATAAAAATTAGAATCGGAATGAAAATTAAATACTTGGTAATGGTATGGGTTTTGGTGAAAGTATTTTGTGTTGGTGATAATGAACCAAAAATCGATTTAATATCGTAAAATAATATTTATATATACACACACGAAGTATATAAAATATTATTCGATATATTATATCTGATATATATATATATATATATATATATATATATATATATATATATATATTTGTGTCTATATATATATATATATATATATATATATATATATATATATATATATATATATATATATATATATAAATCAGACCACCATGGTTATATGCATGAATATCTACGGAAAAGATATATACATATCAACCAAATGGAATTTATAATACACAGATTATAATTCCAACCAAACTATAACATAAAAGGAGGATTTTTGCTTAGAAGCATAATCCAAAACCGAAAGAAGGAAAGATTGGCTCGTGTTTGGGTAAGGGTTTTTAGCGTGAGTCAAGAGACCACTCTTTCCTTAAAACCTTATTTGTCACCTCCCAAAAGTGCTAGGAGCGCCGTGGCCTAGGTTTCCCAGGATAAAACGCGCTACAGTTCGACGTTCGAGCACCCAAACGAACGAACCCGGCGAACTAGAGCAAAGTCTTGAACACAGTTCGGCTTAAGAAAGGAGTAGGAGCAGAGTTTTGAAGAGAGAAAACACTTCCTGTGTTGTGTGTTCTTGTCACTATGTGTTTAGAAAAATCTGCTGCACTCTACCCCCTCCTTATATAGGGATTGAGGAGTGAATAACCTTTATTATGACATTTAGGGGCATCCCTACAACTTCTGTAACATCAACCATTAACATGGATGTTGATTCAAAAATTAAAATTGAATTTAATTCAAAGAATTAATTACATAACAGCTGAATTAAATCCCAACAGTCACAAACAGGAGCTTTCTGGTTCGTGTATACTGTGCAAAATTTCGGCCGCCTTTGCAAAGTTTCGGCCAACTTGGCTGAAACTTGCAATTGCAAAGTTTCGGCCAAGCTGGCCGAAATTTGAATTGCAATTGCAATTTGCAATCCATTTGCCGAAACTTTGAAACTTGGAAGTTTCAATAGTTTCGGCCACTAGGCCGAAACTCACACTAATCAACACGAACTTTCATGGCTTTGTCAGAAAATGAATACCGAAGTTTGGCATAACTTATGTCTGCAAGGCAAATTTCGGACGACATTCGTGCCCGCGCACACGAGATTAGGCTTGACCTAAGCCTTTTCAATCTCATTCTGGGATTTGATTTGCCCCCCCCACCCTGCGCACGAGAGAGAGCCTCTATGCTATACAATTCAATAAGCTTAAAAATAGCTCTTGTATATAAGGGGGGCAAATCCTCTTCCCAAATCAATGTGGGACAAAAGCTCACTTTTTCCCTTCATTTTCCAACTCAAATGGGTCTACTTTGAGAATCAATATCTCATTCACCCATTATCCGTTTTGAGCGTACAATATATCAATTTCTTCGTCTCACTACGAAGAACCCGAATCCACTTTGACCCGACTCAAACCGGAAGTGGACCCCACTGATAATTGTACCATAAAATAGCCACTTAATATGCCATTTCAAGCTATTTTTCCAACAATTTTGCATGTTTGGTAGTTGGGTCCGAATTTGAATGATTACCTATATTGATATTTGGTTATATATGACCCTATAATGAGAATAAATGTTTCAAAATTATAAAAATAAAAAATCAAGAAAATTGATCATAATATAATGACATCCAAAGCACCAATATGAACAAAAAAATCAAAACAAAAATTTAAAAGTAATAATCCAAACTTAAAAATCATATTACCAATGAGATGGAATGATACTTTTTTTAAAATTAGGGAATGAGATTTTTAATTGAAGGGGTAATCAAATCTCATAGTTGTGTTTTAAAAAGTTGTCAACAAAACACTAATTATGATTTTGATTCATATTTTTAGTGAGTAAACCCATAAATCAAACACACCATAGTGTTATATATATATATATATATATATATATATATATATATATATATATATATATATATATATATTCAATCCTTTTTAGAAATAAAGTTTTTGATCGGCATACGAACCAAGCCGAAGGATCCCTTAACTGTATAAAGGGCTATTAAAACGATGTTGGAAAAATAGCATTAAAATGGCTTTTTAAGTGGCTATTTGTGGTAAAATTACCAGTGGGGTCCACTTCCGATTTGGATCGGGTCAAAGTGGATTCGGGTTCTTCGTAGTGAGACGAAGAGATTGATATATTGTACGCACAAAACGGATAATGGGTGAATGAGATATTGATTCCCAAAGTAGATCCATTTGAGTTGGAAAATGAAGGGAAAAAGTGAGCTTTTGTCCCACATTAGAGACTCTCTCTCGCGCGCGGGAAAGGGGATGCAAATCAAATTCCATAATGAGATCGAAAAGGCTTGGATCAAGCCTAATCTTTTGTGCGGAGTCTCGATCTCATTTTCCAACTCTTTCGCGTGGCCACCACGAAATGAAACAATGAAACATTTGTTTCATATTTCGTGGTGCACGAAGTGAAATGGTTTCACTATTTCGTGGGGGCCACACGAAATGAAACAATGAAACATTTGTTTCACATTCGTGGTGCAGGAAGTGAAATGGTTTCACTAGCCCACGAAATGAAACTTTGTGTCACTTCTTTTGTGTGCCACTTTGGTTTCGTGTGAAACTGGAGTTTCGGCTATGGCCGAAACATGGGACAACATGGGTTCGGCCTTGGGGGCCGAATCAGCAACAGACTTTTTGCCTTCTGCTTTTAGACCGTTGTGAGATTAAATTCAACCGTTACGGAATTAAATCCTCTATTAATTCTAATTTTCAATATCTAAATTTAAATCTTGGATAATGGTCATGTTGTTTCAAGAGTTACAAAATTGGTTTTAAAACCAATTTAAATGCCATGATGAATGCTATTCATTCTTTGATCCCTATATAAGAAGGGGTAGAGGGAGCAGATTTTACACAAGCACATAGTGGCCATCCCTTGTTTTAGGCGGAGAATTCCCTTTACATGGTTGCCCTTACAGATGCGGGGTGGAATCGTCCTCGTAGCCGTGCCCCTAGGCACTCCTAGTTGAACCCCCGGTTGTTGCCCATAAGTGGGTTCTTCGTGGATTTATCAAAGATCAGCCTCGTGTCTTGAAGTAGAATAAGACTATCTCTACGCGGCGTCCCTCTGGGCATTCCACTAACCCGAGGATTTTGTTGAAGGTTCGGATTCATTCTTCGAGGAGTGTGGGGTTCTTGTCTGCCTTCTTGTTGGCGCCATGCTGCTGGTTTTCAGGGCCAATATCTATTGTAATGATGAGTTAGTGTGCTGCACCCTTACCTTGGTGTGGTAAGCGTAGGGGGAGTTTTTTTTTAAGTTTAGAGAGGGATAAAGTGAAGGGAGGTTATGTGTAGGTTTCACAATCTTACCGCGCGTCCTAAGATTCCTGAATCCTATGTTCCTAAGTACTTATGTTCCTAAATACCTAGAGTTCAAGCCTATTGTCTTAAAGTCTAGTCTTAAGAGTCTTATCCTAGGGTCAAACTTAGGCTCTGATACCAACTGTAACACACCCCAGATTTTCAAGACTTTTAAAACTTATATAACAAAGGTAGAATCTTATTAAATCCCAAACGTAACACAAGAGTATGGGGTGCTATGCCACACCTGAGCTGGAGAAATCAGGTGCACAGGCTAACTAACTAATATCCTCGATAAAGTAAATGCATAACATGGCACACAGGCCGAAAGGACTATCTACTTCTACGCTCCAAGCTCTAGCGCGCTCCAGTGACTTATTCTTCTGTGCCTGAAAGCCAAATATATCTGTTCAGCGAGAGATGCTGGTAACCCACTCCAACGCGTTGAAATACAATACATATAGATATATACATAGATATACGAAAAGTCATTTTGAAGCATGAAGATATATCCTAAGAAACTCTAGCTTTCAAAACCGGGAATAGACTCGACAGATAGGGACAAGCACATTCAGCAGACATAGCCAAGCATAGACAATTCACAAGCATACGATAGATAGAGATAAGCACAGCCAATAACATAAGCAAGCATATACAGTTCCTAGCATGTATCCTATGGTCATGTTTCCATAATCAATAATAACATCAATCCTTCTTATCTCATCACATAGCACACTTTGTTGGCGCCACAGGACCAATCGCATGCCCATACATGAGGGTCAGCGCATATAGCTCTGACACGGCCCCGCAGCACCCTGCCCCGTATCGCAACACGGAGGGGTCGATCGCAACCGACCGATGAACCGCAGCTCATCATAGTTTGATCGCAACCAAACAGTGGACCGTAGCCCAAGAGTATGTCATCTGACCGCAGCCAGGAAATATGAACCGCAGCTCATGTAGAAACGTTTGATCGCAACCAAACGGTGGACCGCAGCCCTATATAATATTTATATACCTGACCGATCGCAACTGGCCTAGTTAACAGTTAGTATGGTTCTCAACCCATCCAACTGCCCGTATAGCCAACTTGATCGCAACCAAATTGGGGATTCGTGCATCACATAACATCTTGGAGCACATAATAGCACATTAGGAAGGGGGAAGCATAAAATAAAGCTTATGTGTGATCATTCACATACTAAGAATCATCCTAAGGGGTTCAAACGTTTTCCACCTAGGTCAACGGGTTACCGATTCAACTAGCATGCAAGCCCTAAGATTTACCTAACCTACGAACGGTACTAGAAATATCAAACTAGACTCAGGCACGATAAACGGGGTCTGTTGGGACACCACGGGGAATGGGGAACATCAAACGGGGAAGCCGAAGTCCCAAGGTGGGAAAATTCCAGCGGGTAGACGGTGGGTGGAGGACCACCCACCGGCTGCCCGCTGCCGGCGACGTCCTTCTCGGGCAGCGGGTAGGTGGCGGGTCCCCCTACCCCCACCTACCCCCCACTGACTCTTTATCAAAATAAACATCCCGGGATCCGTTTTGGAAACCGAAACCATGCTTAGACATTTTTAAACGCAATTGATGACAACACGTAGACAATTAACGGATCAAAAGCTAGAACATACGGCACATAACCTATCATGCTTTTCTAAACATAATCAACACCCAAACATACGAATTCCCCACCCAATATACCAAGAATAATACCATATGAGTTCCACGATACAACCTAGGGTTCTAATTACTTTTAAATCATCAAGAACACAATTCATATTCTAATATCAAGATTCGGTAGGAATAACACATAAACATCAAGAACATCGTGCCATCATCAAGAACATCATATAATTATCAAGAATCTCTTATCATCATCAAGATCATCAAGATTTCCCATGGAATCATAACACAATTTATCAAGATCAATATAACGAATCATCAACACACAAGAACACGGGGGAAATCCTAAACGGGGAATCATAGCTATGAAAATAGGTTTTGTTGAGACATGGGTTACCTCTTAGCCTTAATTAATTCCTTGGCTATGAAGGGTCTTTCTTTAAGCTTTCCTTCTTTCTTGATTTCTCCTAAGGGGATTTTTGGAACTTCTTGTGTGGTGAGAGATTATTGTGGTGTAAGATTTAGGTGCCTCCTATGATCCTATATATATATATATTCCTAAGAGTCATAGTTGGGGTCTAAATACTATGGGCTTGCTAATTCCATTCCTTATAGGACTAATGACTTGTTTTTAGGGATAAGGGTCCATGGTCCATAGTGGACCATATTAATTAATTAAAGAGAATCCTATTCATAATCTGAATAGTAAAAGGCCTACTTCCTTTATTCCTAATAGACAACTAGGTCTAGGATTCCTAATTAGAATTTGAATAGTAAAATGTTTACTTTCTTTATTCCTAATAGGCTTAAGGCTCTAATTTAGGCAAGGGTCCACGGTTCATGGTGGACCCCATTAATTAATTAATGGGAAACCTAACTGAATTAAATCATATTTAATTATTATTAATGGGATTAATTAAATAATTAATCCGAGATTGAAGGCCGTAACACGGGGTGTTATAGCCGTGGCAGAGGCAACAATGGCCAAGGGTGTGGCGGCATACCCCGATGCCAAATTTGCAGGTCACACGGCCATACGGCCGTGTATTGTTTTAAACGATATGCAGATCGTCCGCTGGCTCACGCAGGTCACGAAAATGTTGCGGTTTCCAGTGATCCACAAATGCATCAAGTAGCCGAGGCATGGTACCCGGACACGGGTGCCTTGTCTCATGCGATTCCGGATGATCAGATGTTGCACCACTCCGAGGCCTACACCGGCGGGGATGTGCTCAAAGTTAGCAATGGCGCAGGTTTGGGTGTTTCCCGTGTGGGTCATGCGGTTATCCCAACCCCATCTAAAAGTTTAACAATGTCCAATATTCTACATGTCCCAAATTTAACTTTGCCATTGCTGTCAGTTTATCGTTTTACTAACGAAAATAATGTATATTTCGAGTTTCATAAAAATATCGTTTCTTGTGAAGGATTGCAACACCCAAACGGTTCTTCTTAAAGGGTTCACCTCCGGCGGGTTGTACAAGCTGTTGGTCCCTCAAACTCATTTTGCTTTTCTGTCGTCCCGGGCGTCGTCTCGGGTGTGGCATCAACGGTTGGGTCACCCGCATCATCAAGTCCTCCAGCGTGTCCTAAAGCATTGTCCAGTTTTGCCAAATAAAGCTAGTCTGTCAAGAATGTGTACTGCGTGCCAGCTTGGAAAATCAACACATTTTCCATTAGATAGAGTTTCAAACACTAGCCATAATGTTTTAGACTTATTGTACACGGACATTTGGGGTCCGTCTTCTGTTATTAGCGATTCTGGCTTTCAATACTTTGTTCTTTTTGTAGACGATTACTCTCGGTTTTGCTGGTTTTATCCATTAAGGTTAAAATCAGATATATATAAAACTTTCAATTTGTTTCGGGCAATGGTAGAACGACGGTTTTCCCGTTCTATCAAAGCCATCCAGTCTGACTTAGGGGGTGAATACCGCCGACTACATAGTGTCTTTGAATCTCTCTGCATAAATCACAGGCAATCATGTGTCTATACACACGAACAAAATGGTCGTGTTGACCGTCGGAATAGACACATTGTCAAAATGGGCTTAGCCTTATTGGCTGAAAGCTCAACTCCCCTTCAGTATTGGGATTACGCATTTGAAACAGCTGCTCACTTAATCAATTATTTACCCTCTTCACCCATACAGTTTCAAACTCCATATTCTCGTCTATATAACACTCAACCTATATACAACTTCTTCCGAGTCTTCAGGTGCCGCTGTTATCCCTATCTGCGGCCTTACAATCGTCACAAGATGGAATACCGGCCGGCACCGTGTGTCTTCTTAGGTTACCCATTCTCTTATAGGGGATACAGCTGCTTAGACTTATCCATGGGAAAGATCTTTATCTGCCATCATGTCCGGTTTGATGAGTCCACTTTCCCCTTTTCTATGCAGGCATCTTTGCAGGTTGCTACCAGTCAAAATGCCACCACACCCTAGGGATCCAGTCTCGTGGTGGTTAATGCCCAATCTACACCACCGCCAATGGAGATACCCTTGGCACAGGAACCGCCTCCTATGGCTATAGAGGCTGCCCCGGCTCCAACTCGGAGACAACGGAAGGTTACTACTCAGCCTTCCCAAAGTGAAGGACATGTCATGCGCACTCGCAACAAGACACGTGGAACGGATGAGCAGTGTTTTGCGCTCACCGCTACCGCAGATCCCACATGTTACTCGCAAGCTGTAGGGCATCCGCAATGGCGGGATGCCATGGACCAGGAGTTTAATGCACTATTGCATAACAACACCTGGAACTTGGTCCCAGCAACACCAAATATGAACGTGATCAGCTGCATGTGGGTGTTCCGCACCAAACGTAAAGCCGATGGCTCGGTAGAGCGTTTCAAAGCACGCTTGGTTGCTAAAGGGTTCAACCAAGTAGCCGGCGAAGACTATTTTGACACGTTCAGCCCGGTAGTTAAGCCTACCACTGTAAGTATTTTATTTTATCTTGCAGTGTCTCACAAGTGGACCTTGCGACAACTGGATGTCCACAACGCCTTTCTAAATGGGCATCTACCCGAGACAGTTTATATGAAGTAGCCACATGGTTTATATGAACCTTCGCCAACCCTGCCCCTCAACATCATGAAGTTTTTTTTTTATTTATGCAGGTGAAAGTAGTAGCCACTTGCAACGTTCTCTTTATGGTCTAAAACAAGCGCGTGGTTTAAGCGCCTACATGAATTCTTAATCTCGACGGGTTTTTTGGCCTCCAAAACTGATGTGTTGTTGTTCCACTACACCGATGGTAACTCTCGGGTGTTCTTACTCGTGTATGTCGACGACATCATTATGTTGGGCACTAATCCAGCATTGATTGACTCACTCCTCCGACATCTCTCTTCTACTTTCAAGATATGGACCTGGGCAAGCCTACCTTCTTCCTAGGCATTGAGACCTTGTTTGACTGGGATGGATTTATTTTATCTCAACGCAGGTACATGGCGAATATACTGTCTCATGCAGGTATGACGGACTGCAAAGCCTTGGCTACACCGGCTTTAGTCACTCAACCGACTACACCATCGCCAGTATAGTTTGATAATCCAACTCAATACCGCAGGATTGTTGGGGCACTACAGTATCTGACTATCACTCGCCTCGATCTCTCTTTTTCAGTCAACAAGCTCTGTCAGTTTATGCACTCTCTGATGCAGGATCACTGGGGACTGCTCAAGCGTGTACTACGATACGTCAAAGGTACCCTGGACTACGGGTTGCGTTTGGCTCCTTCACCGACATCTGATCTGCATGCTTTCTCAGACTTTGATTGGACTGGGTGTCCAATCGACCGAAAAGCTACTAGTGGCTATGCAGTTTTTCTTGGATCTAATCTCGTATCCTGGTTTTCCCGCAAACAACGCACCGTAGCACATTCCTCGACTGAGGCTGAGTACAAAGGGCTTGCCGATGTATCCGCCGAAGTCACCTGGGTTGTCTCATTACTTCGGGAGTTGGGTCTGCATTCTGGTAATCCGGAAACTCTGTGGTGTGACAAACTGGGGGCTACATACTTAGCGGCTAATCCAGTGTTCCATGCCAGGACGAAACATGTTGAGATCGATTTTCATTTGTCCGTGATAAAGTAGCTTCCGGGGACTTTATTGTCAACTTTGTTTCAACCAAGGATCAGCTCGCTGACATCTTCACCAAACCGCTGCCAGCTGCGCGCTTTCATGCTCTTAGAAGCAAGCTCAATGTTGTCAGCATCCACCCTTGTTCTTGAGGGCGTGTGTTAGTAATATTAGTATTTCATGTTTATATTATATGCTTTAATATTATTGGTTGTAGTATAGTCAAATAGTCCTAGCCTGAATAACAGGAGAGTCTTGTGTTAACTCTCCTATAGGACTCTCTGTTTCTCTCTCTCTCTCTGTAATCTGATCGATTCATTCTATTGAATTTGAATTTCATCGTCTCATCTATAGTAGAAGTTGTGTTGAAAATGATTCTTGTGGTTTACTGTAATTGGTTTATAGTGAAGGAAAATAGAAGTATTTGAGCTTAGTTATTTTGAGCAAGAAGCATGATCATTATCAGATTACTTTGATTGAAAAACATGTCTAAGTATTTATTGTTATTTGTTGAGAAGTTTGCAAAGAATGTGAGAAAGTGGATATGTACAGTACATGATTTCCTTGTTTCCAGTAAAGCAAATTATTAGAGTTTGAAGTATATTATGAGCATAAAGAGCATGATCAATACTTGCTAAGTATTTGCTAAGAAGATTTGCTAAGTAATGAGTTGATAAGCATGAGATAGCATTTTGTTTGCCTAATTCTCAATGAAAGAGAAATTGAGTTATTCCTTACATTAAAAAAACATGTTTAGCATTTCATAATTTAAAGTGCATTAGTGGCTTTAAGTAAGCCTAAATATTCTTTAAAAAACATATATTTATTTTGGAAAATCATTATCTAGTTGCATCGAGGAATTGCATGATGATTTGATTTCAAATTTGTGAGAAAAGAGAAGTTGTTGAGAAACTATGTGCATGAGATTGCATAAATAGATTTGTTACATAAGAAAGAAATGCATGAGTTATATCTATATGTATCTAGTGTGAGTAATCCGAGGTTTTGGAGGCCCGTTAGGACTATGTCCTTTCGGAAGAAAAGAGAAAGAAAGAAAGTTTGAGAAAGAAAGAAAGTTCGAGAAAGAAGCGGACATTACGATCCGATATGAAGTAACGAGGTCGATATTCCCGAGTTACTAGGTTGGAAACGCCAAGCTTGGAATTCTGGTTAGGGGGTGTGCACACTAAAAGTTCGATACCTGATTCCACAGAGTTTGAGAAAAGAACCAAGAGAGTGATTCTGTGGGCGAGATGAGTATTAGGCCGGCTAGATGCCGAGCCCAAATAGGTCCGTTCACATTATGGTGAAGTTCCTACCTTTCCCATGAGCAAAGAAAGAAAGAAAGAAAGAAAGAAAGAAAGAAAGAAAGAAAGAAAGAAAGCGGGTCAAGAGACTCAAGTGAAAGAATAGAAAAGCGAGTCATTATGACTCTACGAAAACCTCCACAGAACAAGTGTTCCTTGTTTCAAGAGAAAGAGTGTATATGTATATCTATCTATACTTATACTAAAGCATCATGTTCATCGTATTGCATGATTATGTGAGTTGCATGTTTTGCATAAAAGTATGAGAAGAAGTATGACTATATATTGTCATTTATTGATTATCTTAATAGCATGAGTTTGCTTGTTAAGGTTTAAGTATATCTTTATCTATCAGTTTGAGAATGAGTAGAGTATTTCGCCATGATAAGTTACATCTGTGAAAGTATGAAGTTGTTGATGAGTTAATTGTTGAGAAAGCATGCCTATTTGATAATTAGGTTGCAAGCATCTAGAAAACGTTGTTGAGTATGATATGTTTGAGGGTTCAAGTAATTTGAAGTATTTGATTTAAGTGTGGTTCCCAAATGTTTTCCAAAAGTATACTCTATAGTATTTTATAGGGTTGAGTGGCGTTATACTTAGCATAAGTTTGCTAACCGGTTTATTTTTCCTATTTGTTATGTGATAACCCTTTTCAGGTGGGCCCAGTTCTTGAGCGCGATCAAGTTAGACTAGTTTAGCTTAGAGTGCTAGATGTAGTCTAAACTCTTTTCAGTTATGTTTGTTTAAGACTTGAATGTTAGTTCTGGATAGATATTTTTGGTGGTGCTGAACACCGGGGTTTTATTCCCCAAGATTTGGTTGTAGTTATTAAACTTGACTTTTGTAGAACTTTTCATTGCCTGTGCAGTCATCGTGCGTGGTGATTATGGCGGTGACACCTCTTATGGTTGAACTTTAAGCTTTTAACACTATCTTAATATTGTTAGTATCCTTTTTAAGTTAAAAGTATTGTAATTAAGGTTAAGAAAAGTGGGGGTTACAGTAACCGTGCGAAGAAAATAGTAAGTTTTCTCCTAGGCGAAAGAGGAGAAAAGTGGAATAGGAGAATTACGCCACCTCCGAACTACTCTAAATTGCATCTCTCATTTATTTACTGCTCATATATTATTGTGAACTAACTCATTCTTATATTTGCTATTCATTATCTGAGTTTACTACTTCTTACGTATGCATGCATTATAGTTCATATCTAATATAATCTCTTCTATCTGCGTATTGTACACTTCACACGTGAGATTGCATGCAAGATTAATTCTTGCATAAATCATTTCTTGACCTTCACATTATTTATTGCACTGACACATTTCGCATAAGCACTATTCATCTAGGTTCACTTAGTTCCATCAATGCATGTGATATATCTCTCTGTTTTACATAACACTTTATTGTTAAATTATTCTGTTGTGCATGCAAGTTGAATATCTTATTATTTACTTGTTACTTGGAGTTGAAATTACCAAAGTGTTATTTATTTTGAAAAAGTTTAAAAAGTCTATTCACCCCCCTCTAGACTTTTTACCACCCTTTCGGGACCAACATATTACATAGTAGAATAATCAAATATCATAAATCTTTCACAATTTCAAATAATGGAACGGAAATATTTCAATAATAATATTATACATCATCAAGTAAAGGAAAATTAAAAATGGAAAAAATATTTCAATAATAATATTCTACACATCAATAAAAAATAAAAAAAAAAAAAAAAAAAAAAAAATATTGAACAATAATATTCTACACCATCAAATAAAAATAGAACGGAAATTAGGTAAAAATATCAATGCATCTATATTCTAATTGACTAATTGACTTATCAATAGAATGGTAAGATCATTGCATTATAATTAAAAATGGAACATAAATTAAAAATTAGACGAAAATATTTCAATAATACTATTCTACATCATCAATACTAAATGCATATTTTTAACAATAGTAAAGGTAAATTAAAAATGGAACAGAAATATTTCAATAATAATATCTACATAATCAATTAAAAATGGACAAGATTGTGTTGGCACTACCAATGTCGTCTACAAAGAGGTTTCAATAATGTGTAAATGCAATCGTTGATATTATGTTTTTTTTAAAAGAAAAAATTGCTATAAATCTAGACAAAAAATATATATATCTTCCATATATACAATGGAATTAAGATAGCAATTCATTCATATAACTGAGTTGCTAGAGAACGAGCACATTTGCCTAATTTAAAAAAAAATACTAAATAGTGATGAATAAAATCTCCAAAGTTACAGCACCGCTGCCAGGGGCAGAGCCAGGATTTGGGGGTGTGGGGGCCAATCACAATTTGAAGAGAGAATAATAAAACATATTAATATTTATTTAACATCTTTCAAAATACATCATTATATTACAAATCTACTAAAGTTTAAGATGTCTTCCAGAATTCAATGGCTCAATACTTGTAAATGAATTTACTTGAGATGTTGAATTTCAGAATTCTTTCTTTTAAAGAAAAGATCAATTCTTTGTGTCTTTTTCATTTAAAATCAAACTTTCGATGTTCACAGTGTTAATTTCTTTTTCTTTTTTTTTGACAAATCAATTGAATTAACTAAAACTGAAAAAAAAATAAAAATAAATAGACAAAGATTAAAGTAGTAAAAATTTAAAGATTTTAGTAGCAAAATGACAATTTATTATTATAATAAACACAATTACAATGTATTTCATTTTCAAATTAAAAAAAAAAAAAGACAAAGGTTAAATTAGTAGAAATTTAAAGATTTTGGTACTAAATGATAATTTATTATTATAATAAACACAATTGATCAATTATTTGTGTTTTTTTCATTTCAACTCAAACTTCCGATGTTCACAGTGTTAATTTTTATTTTATTTTTGACAAATCAATTGAATTAACTAAAACTGGAAAAAAAATAGACAAAGGTTAAAGTAGTAAAAATTTTAAGATTTTGGTAACAAAGTGACAATTTATTATTATAATAAACACAATTGCAATGTATTTTATTTGCAAATTGAAAAAAAAGACATGTTAAAAGAAATATAGAGACAAGGGAGAATCTTCTGGTGTATACATCTCATTATATCCTTATACATCATATATATAATCTATACAAATTGACTATTACAACAGTTACAAAACAAGTAATCAATGTCATAATAATGTCCATAAATAAGGATTTATAACACTCCCCCTTGGACATTATAACACCACGATCTTGCCTCATTAAAAACTTATTAGGAAAACCATGTGGGAAAAACCTAAACAAGAAAAGAGTACAAGGTATATGGATAGCATACATTTATGCCTCATTAAAAACTTCACTAGGAAAACCACATGGGAAAAAAAACCTAGTTGAAGAAAAGAGTACATGATATATGTAAAAACATATATTGTATTGGTCGCCTCATTAAAAACCTTAACTTAAGAAAACCCTGTGGGAAAAACTTAGTTAAGGGAAAAAGAGTGCAACCGCCTTCAAGGCATAATCGGCATAATCTTCAGGATTTTGGGGTTTGTCGACTGAAGCAATTATTTTGTAACATTTTCCCATTTACATTATTATATCATACTCATGCCTCGTTAAAAACCACTCTAGAAAAACCCAATGGGAGAAAACTAGTGAGGAAAAGAGTACATGATATTTATGAATTTATGTATTGCAAATAATGCGCAACTGTTAGTCTTTTATGACTTAATCTTCAGGATTTCACATTCAATCTTCCAGATTGATTCGAGTAAATGTACTTCACGTCTCCCCCTGAAGATAACAATCTTCAAGTTCTACATATATTTCAAAAATTTGAAGAAATGGATTGGACAAATCTTCTGGATTGTCACTAGAGTAATTGTCTAATAATCTTATGGCTCTTCTAGAGCTCATATAACATTTTTGCAACACAAGTATTATTGTCCTCATTTTGAACATTTAGGGAAAGACATTGTATAACCAGTTTGGACTTGGCATTGCGGGGATCAAACAAAAACAGCCAGTACCCAAGTAGTCTATTAAAACCGTATCATGGTTTCTTACATAAATGTCATGTTTTTGTATCTCGAAGATACCGGAGGATATGTCAATCATTATTCAAGTACTTCATTTGTAGGGGGAGCACTAGATTTTGCTAGCAATTTTATCGCAAATATGTTGCGGTTATGGAACTTCTGGTTCTATAATGGTGCTCCAACGATAATGAAATAAGGGACTTCGAGTCCAAAAAGGTTCTTTATCTGCTTCAAGAGATTATTAGGCAATCTTTAGTTTGATAAAAACATGACACTTATATGCATATAGACATGTGAAAAAAAAAACACTTTTAAATGTAGGCTGACTGGTGTATATAAAAGAAAACTTCAAAGAAAAACTCGATCTTCAAGTCGAGATAATACTTATAGCTTTCACAAGCTTTTTATTTCAAAAGTCTCAGCCTTTAAGCATGAACTGACATTATCAAGCTCTTTATATATTTCATTGATGTTTACACCATCAATCTTGACTGAGATAATAAATAATAAATAAGTTCATTATCAACCCTTTATCGAGCACACAATGGTACATATTATTCCTTCAATGAGGATATTAACTCCATTTGCAACCCTTTAAAGAGTAAATAATGACACATAATAATACTTAAAAATCCTCATTTCGAGAATTATGAATCCATCAGGGATTTCTCAAGATAAATTTAACTGCATATCTAAATTTATTATTCTGCCAATTGTATTATATAGCGGAACTTAATGCCAGTTTACCGTGGGAGAATATATTTGATTATATATATATGATGTATAAGGATATAATGAGATGTATACACCAGAAGATTCTCCCTTGTCTCTATATTTCTTTTAACACGTTATCAGTACTTTGCTCTATTATCTCCTTGTGATCGCGCAAGTGCGACGCTACCTCTAACGCGATCGATGGCCGATCTGGTGATACAGTGGCCGTCTACTTCCAGCACAGAGAAAAGAGATTATGGGCAATTATATGTTTTAAAGGAAAGGAAAATCAATATATTGGAAATCTGTCCTCTGTATACTGAATCTCCGGTTTCCTTCCCGCAACGGCTTCGGCGAAGCGGCAGACGGCGATCGGAGCGACGGTTTCCACAGATTACACCGGTTTCGTAAACGGTGATCGGATTACGAAGGCGCAGTCAGCTTCTTAAAGTAGTAGAAATTTAAAGATTTTGGTAGTAAAATGACAATTTATTGTTATAATAAACACAATTGCAATGTATTTCATTTGCAAATTAAAAAGACAAAGATTAAAGTAGCATAAATTTAAAGGTTTTGATAGCAAAATGACAATTTATTATTATAATAAACATAACTGCAATGTATTTCATTTACAAATTAAAAAACTAACTAGATAGCAAATTAGCAATCCACAAAGTTATCCTAGAAGCTTGCTTGGAGGGAGAAAAATAACAAATATTTGGTGAGGGGGCAAAAAAAAAAAATCTACAGTACTAATTATAGAAAAAAAATGGTTGGGGGGGGGGGGGGGGGGGGGGGGGGGCAAGGCCCCTACAAGTTTAATGTGGCTCCGCCACTGCCGCATGCGTACATCTAAACATTAGATATTAATTTGAACAATCATTTTCTCAAATTCAAGCAGTGATAACATCAAATTAAAACACATAAATGATTCAAATCACATCTTCAATTACACTATATAATATTTGATGTTCTAATTTAAATAATTATATATCGATCCAAATATTCTTAATATATTACAACAAATTCATTTTATGCATCGCACGGGCGGAAATACTAGTAATAATAATAATATAAGTGTCTGGAAAGGTTTCCCCAAAAACTTAGGAGCATTTCTGTAATATCAATCATTTGGACAAAAATGTAATTTAAAATTAAAATTAATTACAATTTCATTTCATATGATAATTTATATACAATA